CAGGAATGTTGCTTTTGGATAAAATAACCGATTACTGGCATTTTGAAAAAGTAACTCAGAGGTAGGTAGTTCTTAACTTTCCTCTAACCTCAGCCCTCATTTCAAATTTCACGCTGCCACTGCACAACAGTCTCCACATGATTCTCTGGAACAAGGAACAGACGCTCAGAATAAAGGGCAGTCACAACAAGACTGCTGCCTCATCTGCCTTCATCCTTGGTTCTGAAAAGGTTTTGTTGTTAGATGGAAAACTAAACCCTTATATTCCTTAGACTGCATCTCTTTATCATTTCACATGTATTTTGTAATTTGGAGAATCTTCTCAGTGTATAAAGAAATATATGTGGGAGTTTTTAATAAAACACTGGCAGACTTTTATTGTCTTACAGTTTGGCATTTCATATTGCTTTTGATGTATGTTTCAAGGTACAGTATATATTTGAAAGTTTCTAAAACAATATCAGATTCTAAAACTTTGGTTTTCTTTAGAAGTTTAGTAGGAGACTAAAATAATCCAAAACATTAACTATTTTTAGATTGCAGTTATAAATACTACTTCAATTTATATATTAAACCATTATAAAATAGTAACAAAAGTTCACTTTTTAATTAATTTCCTTCTCAGGAAATGAAATGTAAATTCTTATTTTTCCAGTGCAGAGTGGCTTTTTTTTTTTTTTTTTTTTTTTTTGGACATCTTAGTAAAAACTGCATTTTCAGAGTTCCTCATTTAAAATCCTAACTAATCATGACATAGAATTAGTCTATTTATGGCTACAAAAAGCAAGCCTTGTTCTCATTATGCAGTAAGTACTAGCTGTTTATAGATCTGACAGTTTGTTGGAAGTGATCCAAACCTATAGTGCTATTATTCCTTAGTAAAATTTAAACAGCTGTAGTCATGTAATTCAAAACCCTGAAAGTCTGCTGCAGTGCTTGTTCTACTTCAGTATACCATGAATGCAGGATGCAGCCAGTCACATAAAGGATTCTCTTCTTCACAGAATGAAAGAAAGACGTGAACTACAAACCTGAATGCAACCTGAAAGGTCCAAATAGATGAGCTTGTGACAGCCTTTTCCAGAGCCCAGGTACAGTAAACCTTTGTCTGTGAATTTTCTGCAGTGAGCTAAACTCAGATATTGTAAATTGGGGAAGCTGCTTTGTGAAAAACAGAACAAAACAGAGAGCAAATTATTACAAGGGTATGTGACAGAATCAAAAGAACATAAAATAACATAGTTAAAGTATTCTGAAAATTACTGTAAAGAAAAGATGTTCGATACGAAATAGAATTATCTCCTTGCTGAAGTTTGAAAGTCCCTTTCTTTTGCTGCACTTTTCCTCTGCTCCTTGTACTGCAAATTGTTGGGGGAATAGCACTATCATACAACATATTTCACCATATGAAAACAGTATCATTTTAAAGTTATCTCAAATACCTGCAAAAGCATACTTTCTTAATTAACTGGGATATTTGTGTGCATACTTTGAAAGCTAATAGACTTTTCAGTATAAGTTTGCTGGACTGTCTTTGCCATTGATTTTACATGCACTGCCTGCTGGAAATGAAAACCAGAACTCTGTCAAAGGATGATAAAAGTATAAATGTACAGTTAGAGCTTCTCAAGTCATATAATTATTTAGAAGAGTACAATTAAAAGAATCTGAAAAATTTAAAGAGATACAAAAGGGAATTATCCAAAAGTGAATCATCCAGTGTTAGATTTTGATCGGTTCTTTTGGAAATGCATTTCTTTATACTAAACGTTAGTTAAAAGAAAGCAAACTGTATAAGTGGAAAATGTTAACCAACTGCACTCTGTAAAAGCAAGAATCTATACTCTGCATATACTTAAGTTTCCATCTGCAGCTTTGATTTACAACATACTGAAAACTGTCCATTTTACTGAATTGCATGGAATAATAATATAACTGGAATAAATAACAATTGCCACAAGCACCACAAATGAAAGCATACAGAAAATCAAACCTAGAATTAGGACCTACTGCTCTGCTAGACATTTAGTTGTAGGGATATAGTAACACAGTTCTGCAAGTCAGCAAAAGCAGGCATTTTGAAGAAAGATGGGAACACCCACTGGGGAGCTGACTATTTAAGGAGTGGCATACATTTTTGGAACTGACTTTATACTTTCAATATAGAGTGGGGAAACATGCTAACTTGAACTGAACACAGAAAAAAAAAAGAGATATGAAGCTGGAAAATAATGCTATCATAAAAAAAAGATAATACAAAAATATTAAGAAATTAAATATAAGATTACATTTCATTAAAAAAATCCCAAACAACAAAGAAAACAACAAGACAGACAACACGCATCAGAACCAGATATTAGAATATAAGGGCATGTGTTTGTGGTGTGTTTTTTTTAAGTGGAAACATTTAATTCATATTAGATACAGAAATAAAAGTATCCTTCTTTGTAGAAGCACAAGCCTTTATGCATTTTACTGACATATTCCACAGAAATGAGTGAGGAAAATCAAAGTCAGAGAAAGTACACTTCCAAACTTATCTGACAAAATAGATAATAAATTAAAAGACTGGATTTTATACTCTGGCAGTTCTGAGTCTTTTTAAAGTATATATTGCTACAAGGTTGCACAACTGGAGACACAGGGAAGCCTTTCTTACTGCATTTTGAAGACTGTGATCAAAACCTTCCAATATTTTTGAAGAGACACTGATTTTCTTTACAGGTCATATGACTCATTTTTATGATCTGGGAATTTTAACACATGCCTTCTTCTGCCATTTTTAAAGTGACACCTTTCTTAAAACTTAAGCTTGAGCACACAGACGATTAAAAATCCTTGTTTTGTGTTACAGCTAAATTCTGCAGGAATTCTATCATACTGGTTTTTCAGTTAATTTTGGCATTAGCAATCTCAGGATCATTGTTTTAAAGCAATCTGGCAAAATCACCTTCTGATATCTATTCCTGATAGACAATATTAATGTCTACCATATGCAACAGAATTTTTCAGAGAGAAATTATAGCTGATGATCTGTGTTGTGCAATACAGAGGTTAAAATGCTTGTATGGAACAGCAGGAGAGAATCAAAAATGACCAGTTTTGAGCACACTCAGTCTACCCTTCACTTGTTCCCATAACGGACATCTGATATACAGCAAACTTCACGTGCCGTATTAGGAAATGCAATACTGCCACCTCTAAGAACTTTGTATTAGTTACCTTATTACACAAGACCTGTGGTGAGCTAATGCTTTTGAGATGGCATGTGAAATGTTTATGAAATTTTTCTGCTGTCAAAATCTTCATGGAACAGCAACTTTTTGTACATCCCCATCATCTCGGAAACAATGAGCTTTGCTTTTTGTCCAAAAATTGTCAAGAAAAACAGTGGTATCTTAAGATTTTAAATCAGAAGCATCATGTGTGACTGCGAAAATTTCTTATTAACGAGGTACAAGTTAACTGCAAAATATATTTTGTCAGTGGACAATTTTTGGTTTTGTTTTAAACATTTTATTGCATTGAAAGTTTCACCTTCTCTGGAGAATTCTTTCTTGGGTAAGTGCTATTTACGCATCAAAAGAAATTAATGGTTCTGACTTCTGGTGGCAACAGCATGCTCAGGTAACCAGAATAACATACGCTGAGATTACCTATAGAACAGCTGTTCCAAACTTCAACATCAACATATGGAAATTTAAAAAGACAAAATATCAGCCAACATGGAAAAAACACAGATTGTGATAAGAATAATACTGATGAAGAAATGAGTGGTAAGATTGGAGACACTAAATGGAAAACTTTGCCAAAACAAATGTTAGTTATATGAGGATATGACATTATAGTCTAAGAAAAACAAAAGTCAAAATGTGTTATGCAAATGCCAAAGAAAACCATGTTCCTCAACTTTGTGGGGCTGCTGTTGAAAGGAAGACATTAGTTTTCCTCATAGGAAACAGCAACAATGTACAGCTATCTTCAAATTTATATACACCTTTGTCATGGCTGCTATCATAGACCAGCATGCCTCTTTTCCTTTATGGCAGCTGTTAATGCAGCAATTCTACCTACCAGGCAGACTTCGAGTCTCATGGAGGGATACATCTAAAACAGGAATGGCAGACCTCTCTGTAAGAATGGAAATTCTCTGCCTTCATCTCACTAATCTTCTAAATAAGAGTTTGGAATAACTCCTTTCTTTTGTAGTTGTCACACAAGGCCTTGGCTCACACAATACACCTATCCACAGTCCTCTCTTGCAAAAATAAATTTTTAACAACATATCTAACTTGCAAACTTCTTGCATCATCATGAGTAACTGGACATGCCCAAGAAAGTTTTGGCCAGCATGTTCTTTTAAAAGTTTCTGTAAAACTCTGTGAAATATATAGGGTAATCTAGTGTATATTTTTAAATTATACTAAAAAGAGAAAAGACTTTCTATCTAAAAGTCAAATGTATGGGGCACTGTTTTTTTCATTTTGTATAGCAGACAGAATCCTGTAAATCATCAAAAAGAGTATGTCTATTGTATATGTCTTTAAGTTTCCTGCAAGATTAAAACAAACACATTTGTATTTCTGTTTAATTTTACCTTGACAATAGTCGTAGTGTTCCATTAGTAATATCTGTATATGACAGATTTAAATAGAGAAGAGCTCTGCAACCTTCTGATATGAGTCTCATCGATTCATCCTGAATAATAAAAAAATTCCAGAAGTACATTAAAATTATATTTGTATTAATTTATCTTACATGTTTATGCAGAGCAAAAGAGGGAAAAATATGAATAAGTATTCTTCAGTCATCATAATAATTTTTATACATCACTGCCATTTTCTTTGGAAGCCTCAAAGTAGACACATGATGCTACTGTTACTCACTGGAAGTGTGGTAATTTTAGCATTCTGATTCAAGGAAACATTATACACTACACAGTCCTACAGAGCACAGGGGACTTTTCACAGGATTGAAAGCTAGCATATAGTTACATATTTTGCTAAACCAAGATTCTTGTTAGCCAATCCTGTTACCTAAATCCACTGGTGAATTTTCTCCATAAACTCTGGTACACTTCTTTAACCAATAATAGCATTTACAAAATGCTTCCTGTTTAGTTCCACCCTCTAGGTGGAACATTAGATTTGAGTAATTACAAGGCTTCCATGTTTTATTGACCTGCAAAAGTGGTACTACCTATATTGTTCTATATATCATTCCATTAGAATATAATGAGAATAAATCTCCTCGTATGAAAAATGTTTCACAATAAATGTCAATATAATAGAAAGGCAAAACCTAATCACTTATACATGCAAATGTAATAGCCGAGTGTGTATCTTTTGCCATGTTATGGTCACCTTTTTACTTTTTCAGTTATCAGGCAAAAGAACTACCAACATAGCTGGAAATTCAATACCGATCAACTTTAAAGAGGACAGTTTGTGCTTTTGAAATATATTCTTTCAACAAAAGATTTGAAAGAGGTGGTATCAGTAAAAATAGGTATGTTGACAGAAGATAACTATAATCTGAAGAGAACTGAAGGCATAGGGAGTGGTGAGAAAGCGTGGTGGGGGACAGCATGATGGGGAAAACTCTGAAACCTTCCAGGTGAGAGCAGCACAACCAGGGATCCATCTCAAGTGCCTGAACACAAACACTCATAGGATGGGAATCAACCAGTAGGGATCAAAGTCCACACATAGGTGCAGAGCTATGATTTCATTGGGATTCCAGAGATGCAAAGGGGTAGCACACACAACTGGAGGGCTGCAATGAGTGGTTACAGAATATTTAGGAATGACAGCCCAGGAAGGTGAGGGCAGGTCACACTCTATGCGAGGTTATGCCTAAATGCATGGAGCTTTGCATCGGAATGGGCGGCAAGTCAGTCAAGAGCTTATTTGTAAGGATTAAAGGTTAGACCTATAAGGATTACATTGTGGTATCTGCTACAGACTGTTTGATCAAGAAAAGAAGGTAGATGAAACCTTCTTTGGGCAGCTGAAGAAAGCCTCACAATTGCCTATCCTGGTTACTCATGAGAGACTTTAACCACACTGATATCTGCTGGAAGAACAATGTAGCTGGGCACAAACAAGCCAGGAGACTTCTAGAGTGTTTTGAAGACAATTTCTTGATCCTGGTGACTGAGGAGCAGTCTACGGAACATGTTCTGGACTTGTTTCATGAACGAGGAAAAACTGGTCAAGGATGTGAAGAACTAGAGTGGATTTGTTTAATGCAACCATGAAAATGAGGAGTGTAAAATCCTGAGAGAAGAAAATTGGACAAATTGTAGAAGAAAAAGCCTGAACTTCAGATTTTGACTTGTTTAGGGATCTGCTTAACAGGATCTCATGGTAGACAGCCCTGGAGGGCAAAGGAGTCCAGGATAGCTGGTTGATCTTCAAGGCCAAGGTACTCAATGACTTTTTTTGCCTCAGTTTTTACTGCTAAGGCTTGTCTTAAGGCCTCCCGGGAGCCTACTAGCAGACTTTGTGGTAGTGAAGCAATACCCATGGTAGAAGAAAATAATGTCAGGGAGCACCTGAGGAAATGGGATGAGATAGGATGCATCAAGAGTACTAAGAAAGCTGGCTCCTGTCACTGAGAGGCCTCACTCATAATTTTTGAAAGCTCATGGCAATCAGAGCAGATTCCTAATGACTGGAAGGTAGGAAATGTCACATCCATCTTCAGGAAATGGAAGAAGGAAGATCCAGGAAAGTACAGGCCTCATCTGAGTACCCAGGAAGATGGCAAATCCTCCATGAAGCCCTGTCCAAGCATATGAAGGATAAAAAAGTGATAGGGAACAGCCAGCATGGATTTACCAAGGGCAAAGCATTCCTCACTAAGGTGATAGTTTTCTCTGATGAAAGTACTGGATCTATGGATAAGGGAAGAAGAGCGGCTGTTGTGTATCTCGACTTCAGCAAGGCCTTCAATGCAGGCCACAGTGTCCTTTATAGCCAAATTGATAAAATAAAGGCTGGATAAGTGAACTTTAAGGTGAGTGAAAATTTGTCTGGACTGCCAGGCCAAAGAGTCATCACCAATGGTGCTGTTGGTGGCTTGTGGCAACTGGCATCCCTCAAGGGTCAATATGGGGGCCAGTACTGTTAAATGTCTTTATAAATGGTTTGGATGATAGGAACAGAGTACATTGTCAGCAAATTCACAAATTATTCCAAACTGGAAGGAGTGTCAATACATGGGAGGTTGGAATTGTTATTCAGAGAGACTTAGTCTGGAAAAACGGGCTCACAGAAACCTCATGAAGTTCAACAAAGGCAAATACAAAGTCCTGTACCTGGGATGGAATAACTCCATGCAACAGTACAGTCTACACACTGGACAGAAAGCAACTATCAAACACAGTGACCTGAGAGTCCTGGTCAATAACAATTTCAACGTATGTCAACAGTGTGCCCTTCTGAAAAAGGTGGCCAAGCACATACTGGGCAGTACTGGCCAGAGTGTAATCAGCAAGTCCCTGCTATCCCATTAACCGAGCCCTGGCATTACCTAGAAGGTGCTTGCTGGTACGTACCAAATGTATACTAGCAAGCATGCTAACAACCAAACAGAATGGACAGTTATGAAACAGTGTTTGAGTCTTTACAATTTGGCACGCCCCGGCCCTCTTTAACGTACTGCCTTCATGCCTACAATCAACACAATCCTTGAGAAGCATACAACCTTGAAATTTTACGCTGTAATTGTAATATTGTATAGTAAGTATTATGTTATGTAGAAAGATGATTCTACAGAGTTACTCAAAGGAGTTCACAATATAATACACCTTTATCCCTTCCTTGTAGCTGGTATAGCAAAGAAAATTATATAATCTGTGAAAATGGTAAGAACAAGATATTTGGCAATAAAGCTAACATCAACATAGGACAGAGATGAAGATATATGTAAAGCAGAACCAAAACAGTGTATTATAAATTAGAACCTCATGATTCTTCTGCAGCTCTTGCCTCTCTAACTCGACCATCATATGCCATTTGTGTATGAAGTTCATAAGCTGTATTTTATCCATGGTAATTTTTAAACCTTGTATGTTTCTGGGCTCGACCCTTGGACATACACTTCACTCCAAAGACAACTAAACTATACCAAATTATTTGCTTATATACTTAACACTATGAAATAGCCTATAAATGGATGTATACATTATGGAAGTTTACTAAAAACTCTCATTTCTAAAAAAATACTGATTTTATTTTTAGATTGATTTTATTATGAGCAAAATTTGCACATATCAGTGTTGTTTCTAAGAAATAATTAATTAAAACATAATCAAACATTGTTTTTCCATCAGAGAAGACCTATGAAAAACATTAAAGAGAATTAATGGAAGCAAGATAAAACTGAAAATGTTAAAGGAAAAAGAATGGACAAATATATAACGGTGATTGCATACTTAGACACCTTTCAAATAAAGGGTCTCACAAATATCTAGAAATTTAGTGAGACATTTTTAGAGCCCAGTTGTACTACTGAATGAAGGAATAAAAGAACTTGGAGATATAGCATTAAGATGTATTGTTGTTGACAAGTCCAAACTTAAAATAACAAAAAACCACCCCCCAGATCCATGAAGTTTTGAATCTTGTTTATTGAAATTAATTCTGATTGAACATACCATTTTGCCCCAGCACTGTAGAAAACAAATGAGAACTTCACTGATTATCTCTGAATCCTATTAAACTCCATTTTCAAAGTACTTAAGAACACAAGTCTCTACTTTTTATCAGGAAGATTTTTGTACCCAAATAACCGCATCACTGTAAAAAATCTTCCTTCTCAGTATAAATTAGACTTTATAGAAAAGTATGTAGTACTTACATTTAATCCCTGGCATTCAGAGAGATTTAACTCTTGCAAATTCTTACAATCACCTAAAAATAAAAAATATAGAAGTCATATTAAAGGTGAACAGTTCAAATTCTCAGGGTACCACACAAACGTAAGAATTCCTATTACAGGTGCAGTCCATCTAGGCCAATATCCTCCCTGAAACCATGGCCATAGCAGATCACTCAGAAGAAAGCACAGAAAACCAGAAGTAGAATACAAAGTTGGAGTAAGCTGTCCTGAGGAAATGTCTCTTCTTACACTCCATCAACTATTGGCTGGCTTAGGAACCAAGCTGTTTTCAGTCTTATGTTACCAAAGGACCAGAAAGCTACCTAATTAAGCAATTTGGTGTTAGGAAATGCCAGAATTCAGTCTTCCACATGGGTTTATCTGTCCCTCCCACTCATATATTATGACACCAGTATCTAATTATATACATGAAGAATTTTTTCCCTGTGAAAGTAAAGGTACAACAGCCAGACCGATTGTAGGAGAAGCCCTGCTTATCTTCCGTGAGTATGGAATTTCAGAGAACTTAGCTGCCTGACACAGTCTCTTTTGTGTGCATATAATCTATTATTTTTAGAAAATCCTATTTTGCAGAGATTTTTATAAGTCTAACAAAATAATGAAAGATAGATGTCTGACACTAGAAACAACCTTTACACATGTCTTCAACCACTCTTCTGCCAAATTTTGAGTCTATCCTCCAAGGTAAAGATGCAAAAACTCCTGTTAAACATAGTAATACCTTTTGCCTTAATCCTATGTTCAAAAAGAACTGACCTGTCTAAACTGAAATGAAAAAAATAGGCCTGATACAGACAGATACCTAATTTGGAAAATGCAGTATGAAAGATCCATAGAGTTAAAAGAAATATATTTTTAAAATCTTTAAAAACACATTTTCACATGGTAAGTCAAGTACATGTTTTCACTGCAGTCAAGCACCAGTACAGCAATAGATCTGTATATTCTTTTCTATAGGGACTGTGACTTCACTGATATCCTGTTATACTGTCTAACTCAGTGCCCTTTTGAAGAGTAGGACAACACTGAGAGGGATTGCACAACTCAAAAGAACCTAACCGATTCAAATCATCCTTAAGGCTGCTAAGCCACAGAAACAACATACCTCTTACACAGTTTTTGCCTTAGCACTAAGAGACACAGTTATCATTTGAACCTGTACATGCTACTGAAAGCAGCTGCTCATTTTGGTATTATAGCTGAGTATAATTTAGTTAGCAAACAGAATGTAATACCAGTAAAAAATGCCAGTTCAGACCCAGGAGATGAAAAGGAAAAGGAAAGAGTCTTTCCATAATTATTTATTACCTTTCCTCCCCCAAGTTCTTTTTTCTATTTCCAAGCTCTCCTGGATAGAATGAGCTATCACATTATCAGAAAGGTGAACAGGTCAAAACAACACAGAGGATCCCAGTTATGATCCAAGTTATTAAAACACATGATCAATTTGCATGACCTAGCATACAGCTGCCAAAAGGTAACAGATAGAATTTCATTTTTCATGTAAGGGATAAAGTCGGCAATGCAAACACTCAGTCACAGTGTGAATGAACAGAATCTGAATGCAGGCAGGCAACTGGCAACTACAGGAGTAAAATGGAGAAACCAGTCAATGGGGTTTCAAAGGTAATCTTAACGACTGGCCACATGGATTAGAGGGATGCAGTAGCAGGCATAGACAGGCCTGCTCCATCTCTCTAATGAGTAAGAACTGCACAAATACTGAGAACGCCCTACAGTTGAGATGGGGTTTAAACTGACCTACCAATTCGTTAAAAAATGAAAAATTTCTTTGCTTTCAAAATAATTTTACCTGATATTAGTTGATTTATTACACCACCTTTCCTCCAGATAAAAACACATGTTTTGACCCTGAAACAATGGTGTTTTAGAAACAGAACATCTGTGCAATGATCTGCACACAACATTGGGATTCAATACCTTCCCAGGTGCTAAGGTCAAAAAGGACTGAGCATAATGCAAAGATGTCCACAGTCATAGAGAAAAAGTAACTAAGTAGTTAAGCCAAACAGTGACGGATTAAAAAAAGTTTCAGAAGGAATGATACTAACTGATAGCTAAAGTAGAAAATTTGTGAGATGGAAAAAAGTTAGAAAATACAAAAACCTGAGGGGTTAAAATGTTTCTAAGGAAGCACAACCTTGTGGCCAAACTTCACTGAAAATAAAGGAAAAGGGCAGTGCACAGGAGTACTATGGGAAATTCAGGAGGGAACACAGGCCAAAAAGTTACTAAAAATACTGAGGCAATTTTGGACATGATTGCAGGGAGCAGTCCTTGTCTTCCTCTAATAATAATAATTCCTAATGATTGTGTTTGGCTTTCTTGGAAAGACAAAAGCTTCTGGCATACCCCTCTGTACTCTCCCTCCTCAGGTGGCCAGACCTGGAGTGGTTTGAAGCAGGCCATGGCCAGGACCTGAAGGTTCTCTTTGAACTCTGCCGACGCTCAGATGACATATAGCCTCATAGGCTCCTGCAAAAGATTGGTTTTGGGTCCTTCTCAGAGCAGTCCAGCCAACTTTGTCCACCTAACATGGGCCATGAGAGATAGTTGGTAGTAGCAGGGCTAGTTATGATAAATTTGGGCTCAACTTGTTTTCAAGTCCACATTTGAGTGCAGTCTAAAACTGGGGGTTTGACAGGCACTGGATGATTTTCCCTGGTCTGGCTCTGGAAAACATCAGCTTCAAGCTCCTCTTTCAAGCTCATCTTCCAAGATGAACTTAAATACAAAGAAGATTCAGCCTGATGCCATTTTCCTGCATACATGAGAACCTTCTAACAAAGATCAGTTAGAAATTGGTCCATATAGTTTCCAATGTTTAAGCAAAATGAACAACAGTAGACCAGAGACAGTAAAAACAACAAAAAAAGGATAGGACATTAAATCTTCAAAGATTCTGTGAAGCTCCAAGTAGTGGGATGATTGAGTACTTGACTGAATGCTGCATTTTATGTATGAACCTCCACGAAAACGCCTGCTTCATCTGTTCTAATGTTTTACTTTTCTTCCAACACAGGGATCCCACATACCCCAGCTGTGCCTCCTCAGATCTGTACAACACTGATTCAGACTGTCCAAAAATTTCAACTGTTCCAGCTGTCACAGAAAATAACTGGGGCCAGCTGAATGTCAGGATGCAAGTAGTTACTATTATACTACTACTTCTTCTTTGCAAAGCATCTGACTGTAGGAAGACAAGGAATAGGAGTTTGAGAAACAATGAAAGGGAAAACATCTTAAGGAAAGCATCTAGCACGGTTAAACGCAATGCTCGAGGCCTAACATGTGACATATACACTTACCTTCACGAGAAATACCTAGATTGTCAGGAAAGAAAATTGATTTTTGTGGCACCTGATTGGCCAGAGGATTTAAAACACATGCTGCTAGCAAGAAACAGGATTCGTAAATTGAAGAATAATATGTTTTCCAAGTATAAAGTACTGAAAAGTCTGGATTTACAACAGAATGATATATCAAAAATCGAGAGTGAGGCTTTTTTTGGTTTGAATAAACTTACCACGCTCTTACTTCAGCATAACCAAATTAAGAGTTTATCTGAGGAGATTTTTATTTATACACCCAGTCTAAACTACCTACGTCTTTATGATAATCCCTGGCATTGCAACTGTGAACTAGAAACTCTTGTTACAATGCTACAGGTTCCAACAAACAGGAATTTGGGAAATTATGCTAAGTGTGTGCACCCAATAGAACTAAAAAATCAAAAGCTAAAGCAGATAAAAACTGAACAGTTATGTAGTGAAGAGGACAGGCAGGACCCCCAAAACATAAAACAGAAGCCTGAAGCTGTCAAACCAGAATTTGATTCCTCTTTGTGCCACATGTATGTGTTTCCTGTACCAACTCTGAACTGCAAAAGAAAAGGTTTGTATCTGTCCTTATAACTGAATTAGTAATTTATTCTTGCTCCCTTACTACATTTATTCACTACTATTTACAGCAAATTAATATATACTAGTACTCGCTTTACTTACTTTAACTAATACTGTTAATTGCTTTTCTCTTGTAACTACAAGTAACAAATAGGAATTCTTTCTGCATTTTATCTGTACTCTGCAGCTACAATTCCACAGATATTCTTTAGTGCTCTAGTATATCTAACAAAAAACAACAGGAATAAAATTAAGCACATACTTAAGTTATTGAAAGACTAGCATTTGAAAGACTAGTTATTGAAAGACTAGACTATTTTATAACTAGAAACATACTAATAGGTCAAATCACAGCTGTGCTGAAATTGTTGTAGGACAGAGAAAAGCACAGAGTGTCTTTTCTTCTTTCCAGTGTACAAACACAAAGATAGCAACAACTTTGACAGAAGCGAGCTGTGCAGCAGGACTGAAGCATCCAGCTGTGCTTCCAATGCCCAAAGGAACCTGACTGCGATGGAGAGCCATTGCATCCTCACATTTTCTCTGCAAGACTTCTTGTACTAAGGGAAGAAATTGTATGCTTTTGTTCATAAAGAAATACTTCCTCTGGGTTCTTCTGTCCGGCACCCAGAAAACATTTCAAAGTTGAAGGGCTTTCAAGAAATGTTTTTCAGACACTTGGATCCATTCCATTCATAAATCCTTCTCCTAAAGCCACAGTTAAGCCTTAAGGGTGAACCAGCTGGGGCATATATCAACACAGAAGTGCACATTTATTAATGCTTTATATTTCCCATATTTTATCCCATGATGAAACAAAGCAAACAACAAAACAATGCAGAAGAGAGTCATTCTTTAGCATTACAAATCTGAAATAAAAAGCATTACTAGAAGTGTCCAAAACTGGGAGGATTTTTTCCCAACTTTTGCGAAGCATAGCCTGTACCGCCAGACCACTGTGGTATGTTTTGCCTGCTTGTATCTTGCAATGTGTTTGCTAAACTTCTATTTGCTTTAACAGTGACTTAAATTTATGTCACAACTCTGTGTGCCCTTATTCTTGGACCTTAGTGGCACAGACAAACTCA